GCAATTCTCCTGCCTCAGCCTCCCAAGTAGCTGGGATTACAGGCATGCGCCACCACGCCTGGCTAATTTTGTATTTTTAGTACAGACAGGGTTTCTCCATGTTTGTCAGGCTGGTCTTGAACTCCTGACCTCAGGAGATCGGCCCACCTCGGCCTCCCAAAGTGCTGGGATTACAGACTTGAGCCACCAGGCCTGGCCACATTTTCTCCTTTTAAGTTTCTTAGAAAGGTGAAAGGCCAGGCGCAGTGGCTCAAATCCCAGCACTTTGGGAGGCCGAGGCAGGCAGATCACTTGAGGCCAAGAGTTCAGGACCAAGCTGGACAACATGGAGAAACTCTGTCTCTAAAAACACAACAAAACAAAACAAAATACAGAAAATAGCTAGGCGCAGATGGCGTGTACCTGTGGTCCCAGCTACTCAGGAGCCTGAGGTGAGAGGAACACTTGAGCCCGGGGGCGGAGATTGCAGTGGACTGTGATGGCACCACTGCACTCCAGCCTGGGCACAGAGCTTGTGACCATGACCTTGTCTCAAAACAAGCACACACAAAAAGTGAGAACTGTTTATCCCCTGCTTAGAGAAGGAAGGTTACTACTCTCAACTGGTATGGTTGAATGTTTTAAATATTAGCGTATGATAAAATGAGTTGTACCTAATTAGGATTTTCTGAATCTCAGCCTGTAAACTTACTAACTGTGTGATCTTAATATCGCTGAATCTCCATTTCCTCATCTATAAAATGGGGCTGAAATCTTCCTCAGAATTATTGCAAGGATTAAATTAGGTAAATGAAGTTCAAATTTAATTCTGGTACCTGGCCCATGGCATCCAGGAAACAGTAGCTATTATTATGTAATTGTTCCTTGCCGATTCATTCATAGACTGCAGGGATTTTGTGCACAAGAATCAATATTATGAAAATAATTATTGTGTAGATAGGCAATGCTAGATATCCAAGCATAAATAATTTGGTAATAAACTGCTGAAATCCATGTGACTCTTGAACAGATCACACTTTCATGAGATCCAGCTGGTACATGTCTGCTGTGATATAATGGGAAGGGCCTGGGTTTTGAGACTGGCATACCTGACTTCCGGTTCCAGCAATGCTACCATGTAGCATGGAACCAGGGAACCATGGGAAAGTTACTCAGAAAATAGTATATAAAATTTATAAAGCATTTACATACTTTGATGATTTTACAATGCAATATTTTCTTTTAGTAGTCAGTTTTAACTGTGAGGCCTTATATTTTTTTAAATGAAAATGTAAGCACTCTTTCAAATTATTTATCTTTAGAGAACTATATGATATGAAGTTTGGAAAACAGAAAAGAGAGAATAAAAGTCATAATTCCGCCCTCCTAACACAACCACCATCCTCATTGTGTATTCATTCTCTTGCACTAAAAGCATCCAGAAGACCACACTGTGATCCTTCTCACCTGCTGTATTAGTCCATTTTCACGCAGCTGATAAAGACACACGCAAAACTCGGAATAAAAAGCAGCTTAATTGGACTTACACTTCCATACAGCTGGAGAGGCCTCAGCACCATGGTGGGAGGCGAAAGGCACTTCTTATATGACGGTGGCAAGAGAAAAATGAGGAAGATGCAAAGGTGGAAACTTTTGATAAAACCATCAGATCTCGTGAGACTTATTCACTACCTTGAGGACAGTGTGGGGGAAACCACCACCATGATTCAGATTATCTCCCCCTGGGTCCCTTCCCACAACATGTGGAAATTATATCAGGACGAGATTTGGGTGGGGACACAGAGCCAAACCATGTTACCTGCCTTCGCTCCACCATCCTCTCAGTTGTTCTACTGGATTGTTATCAGGCTAACAAAAACAAACAGGCAAAGAACAAAAACCACAACACGTACACACACACACACACACATATCACATCACATGAAATGGAAAAAGGCAAAATTTAGACTCCATATAGCAAATGAATTTATGCTATGGTGTGGCTTTCATCCATTGTGAAGGTGCTTCTTAAGCACTTGGTTCTTAGGACAGGACCTGGAAAACCCTCAGGGAGTTTTCCCCCCACCGATATTGAATCCCCTTGGGCCATCACATCTGGATTGGTGGTCTGTTGGATGTTACTCACTCATGAGTTCCTAACAAGAGACCTGAAAAAAGGCAACCATAAAGAAAGGATGGAGGGATAAGTTGGCCAAGAAAAAATTGTCTGATGTGTCCAGCATATTTCTGTGTGGGAAGCCCGATGCTGAGCATGGACATCCATAGCATTAAGGAGAAAACGAGCCTAGCAGAAATACACCGTTTTCTGAAATATGTGGGAAGGGGACACTTAGGAGAAGTGAAGACAAAGCATGGCACTGCTTCACAAAGAGGATAATAAACCTTGAAGCTCTTTGCCCCAAGAGGTATTTCATATGGACAGAAAATGAAAACAAATTCAAAGAGCTTTGGGTGTTGAGGGCTGGGGAGGTAGGAGTGCCAGATAAAATATAGGACATCTGGTTAACTTTTAATTTCAGATGAATAATAAGTAATTTTTTTTTTAGTTTAAGTATGTCCCATCTATTTTTTGTATGCTATATCCTGTATGTTTTAAATGTGTGAGGTTTGTGGTATCTATTTTTAAAATCTCTTTATTGAGATATAATTCACAAATTTAAAAATGTACTCATTTAAAGTGTGATTGTGCCATTGCACTTCAGCCTGAGTTGATCTCTTCCCTTCAAAAGCCTGTCCCCAGCATTCCTTTGTCATCTTCATTTTCCTTATAATGGAAACTCCATAGCTCTCTCGGTGTGGTAGCTCACACGTGTAGTCCCAGTTATTTTGGAGACTGAAGTGGGAGTATCACTTGAGCTCAGGAATTTGAGGCCAGGTTGGGTAATATAGTGAGACCCCATCTCTAAAAGAAACAACAACAACAACAACAACAACAACTTCTTTTCCCTTTTCTCCTCTCTCTGCCCTCTTCCCCTTCCCTCTACACCTTGACCTGCATGACTTACTGATGAATGATGAATGGAGAGGGATGGAAATTTTGTTCATCAGCTCTCCCAACACTGCATGCTCTTCCAGGGCAAATGACCATGCTCCCCTGTTTTTAAGTGCTTTTTGCCTCCCTGTACATATTCTGGCAACTTCTGTCTCTTTGGGGATGAGATTTTCCCCCTGGAAGTTCTGTGTGAGAAATCATGTTTAATGTGTGATTCTGCATGGATGGGTGTGTAGGAAATATGACCAGCATACGCACTGACGTGGACCCATACAAGTCTAGGCATCTGTTAAGTGTTTGGCCCTGTCCAGGAAGTAGCTGGGCCATAAAATCAGATATGGGAGGAAGCTTGACCATGGGAGGGGCCCCTTCACAATAGAGTCTGCAGGGACGGTGGGGGGAGACAGGAATGCTAGTTAGGTTGAGCGTCTGAGCAAATGTGGACAGCCAAAGGCAGCCTTGGCCAAAACTCTTTTTCCTCTGTCTCCAGGAACTGGAAGTGTCCCACTGAGGTGTCATCGTGAGTCCATCCAAACCTTACTGAATTACTACCTCCATTTTAAGGTGTAAGGTGTTCAGAGAATGTTCGTGATTCAATAGTTCTTAACATTTTAGTTCCTCAATTGTAAGTGTGTCGGTTTATGAAAGAAAACACATTGGTTAGCACATTGATTTTGGAAAATTTCCACTGATAACTGTGAGGGCTGACACAGACGGTAAGATTATAAGACTCTTTTTATTCACAGGGCCTTCTTAAAAATCTAGTGTGTTTTCCATTTCCCTTGATGCCCTGTTCATGACAGGTGCTTGGCAAATATTAGTTGAATGGCTGAATAAATATATGTATGAGTGAATGGCAGACATCAAAGTCTTCCTGGATGAGGTCAAGACCAGCCTGGGTAATGTAGCAAGACCCTATCTATACCCAAAATTTTAAAAGGCGTATCTGTGGTCCTAGCTAGCCTGTGGAGGCTGAGGCTGGAAATTGCTGAAGCCTAGGAGGTTGAGAGGCTACAGGGAGCTGTGACTGTGCCAATGGACTGCAGCCTGGGCAAGAGAGTGAGACCCTTTCTCAACCAACAAACAAACAAATCAAAAAAATGTTCCTGGATATTTGAGAATGGAATTTGAGATCAGGAAACAGGCCATCATGTGAAAAGTCCCAGAGCAGTCATAGCTTTGCCACATAGAGTCTTGTGATTGGAACATGTCACTTAAACTCCATGACCTTCAGCTTCTGTGGCTGTCAATGGGAATCACCTCCTGCCATAAGTGGTTTTAAGAGTCAAGTGAAATTTCAGATCTGAAAATGCTTTTCTGACTATAGGCTGCTGTATAGATTGAGGATAATCTGATAGCATTCAAAACCCAGTGTTCACCACCTCCAACCCTGTGATCTTGCTCAAGTTAGTTAACCCACCCAAGCCTCAGCTTTTTTCATCTACAGAATGAGAATAATAATCACACCAACCTCACTGAATTGTCTTGAAACTTACATGAATGTATATGCACTCGAGAGCGCAGAGGTGAGCTCACGTGAGTTTCTCTTCCCTGGGTTGCCATTGTCTGCGTATTTTCTGTTTTCTTTTTTTTCTTTTCTTTTTTTTTTTTTTTTTTTTTTTTTGAGAGGGAATTTCACTCTGTCGCCCATGCTGCAGTGCAGTGGCGTGATCTCGGCTCACTGCAACCTCCACCTCCCAGGTTCAAGTGATTCTCCTGCCTCAGCCTCCTGAGTAGCTGGGATTACAGGTGCACACCACCACGCCCGGCTAATTTTTTTTTTTTTTTTTGTATTTTTCGTAGAGACAGGGTTCCACCATGTTGGTCAGGCTGATCTCGAACTCCTGACCTCGTGATCTGCCCTCCTCAGCCTCCCAAAGTGCTAGGATTACAGGCGTGAGCCACTGCGCCCGGCCTCTCTGCATATTTTCTAAGTAGCCTGTTATTCTACATTGCCCAGACTTGTTTCTCTGCCAACCCACCAGTCAGTAAGTAAATTAATTAGGTGATAAGTGATTCCTTGATCTTTTTATTATTTCTATTTGGTTATGATGATTAAAGCAGATGGTCATCTGATTGGCCATAAGTCATGCCTGCAAAGCAGCTGCAGTTGTGTCTCAGGATTGTTTCCTTATCAGAGACCTGCCATCCAGGTGTTTCCTCATCTTAGGAGTTGCCCTCTAGGTTTCCTCAAATTGTGTCTTTCAGATGAGACCCACCATCGGAGCCAGGCTTTGAAGGAACTGACCCTGGTGTGCATGAGGAAGTACTTCATGGTGATGACCCTCGTCACCCCCTCAGGAAAACACAGTGACCTCTCACCCAACACCCCCGTCCCACTCCCAGGTACCCCGGCAAAAGCAGAAGAACCAAGCAAGCCCTTCCACCAAAGCAGCCATGAACCCCATTCTCATCATCTCCAAGAACTCCCTGCTATACCAGATAGGGGTCTGGGGTTCTGTTTTCCATTTTTTAAAAAAATCGTTTTCAGACTCTCGAACAGTGTGTTGGTTTACACTATTCTCTCTTCTTAAACCACCATATCAACAGATTCACTCTGCTTCCTTTCTTTTCATTTGGCAAATGCCACACTTTTAATGGCAGCAATAAAAGGTGCTTCTATCAACGCCAGGTGGGCAGCCCGACCATCTAAAGCCTCAGAGAGGATTATACCAAGTCTCTCGTACACCTCCGTGCTAGTGACAACATGTGGGGACCTCTCATCCCAAAGTTTTGGGACAAAGTCTCCCGTCCCTTATCACTTGCTTTCACTGAAGCTAAATGTATCTGTTCAGTACATGGATAGATTTTTAAGCTCCTCTCACAAAGTCTTGTGCTTGAGACAAAATCAGCCCAGGTTCTGCACTTTGTCTACATTTCAGCAACTCTTCTGCTTGATATTAAAAATAGCCTTGTCTAGTCCATTGAGATCAGACCCAGGAGACAGGCGCCTGCTATTCTAATCTCTGCTTCACAAATAGCTCTCTATGGGCTCAAGCATCTATCAACACTTCCAGGGGTCTCCAGTTATAAAACAGGGCCAGGCCTAGTCACCTATAAAGGTAGACTCTGCTTAACTCTCCTGAGCTGTCCATGAGGTTAGCATGAGGCCTACAACAATCACATTTCCACCGTGGACCAGAGACCTCCAATGGTGACTCAAAACTGAGAAGCAGTTAAGAGCACCCCCCACACTCAGGGGATCCTGTGCATTTCCCAGGCCAGAACCTACAAAAGGTTCCCTTGAGACTCAAACTCAAACATCACTGGTAAACAGGCTGCCCCTCCCCCCTTCCTCCCTCCTCCTGCAAACCTCCCCCATCCCTCACTTTCACCTCCCTTCCTCCCCAACCCATCTTGTACTCTGTGAAAAACTGTAGTTCCCTCAGTTGCCAAGGGAACCAAGCCTTTTATTCCATCCGTGACTAGCTGGTTGGGCTGAGGAGTGGGGCAACAACTGGTACCCAGGCCTTTGGAAGTCCAAGCCCTCCCTTTTTCCCAAAGGGGGAGGGGTGGGCTGCACCCCCATTGCCTTTTCACCCAAACCCAGCTGGGTGGGACCGAGCCCTTGGGCTCTCAGGAGCTCCCTGGCTGTGGGCTCGGGAGATCAGTGCTCCCCAGGCCCTCCTCTGGCCCTGGCCCTTTCCAGAGGACAATAGCCTTCATGCAAGGGAAAATTCCATCGCCCAGGGTTCAAGTCTCCAAGGAGTTGCTGGGGCCTCTGTTTAGCCTGGAGTGGGCTCTGAGGAGCCGCTGCAGCTGCCCGGCTTGTTTTCCCCCTCGCTGTGTTTTATTTTTAACCCCTGAGCTGCCAAGGATTGTTTTTCCCCAACCAGTGCCTGGGAACTAAGGGAGGGAAGAAATAAGGCTTTGTTCCCTTTGGGGAACTAATTGGGAAAGACAGGCAGTGTGGCCGGCTTGGCTCTATTAGGGTGTGAGGCTCCCACCCCTCACTGCACAACATCTTCACCCTAACCCATGCCCAGGAGGCTGGGAGTGCAGAGGTGCTCCCCAGGCTGCAATCAGAGGCCCAGGGGCTGATGGGAACCCAAGTGCAGCTTCAAAACTGCAAAGGCAGCTCCGAGCCATTTTCTAGGGCTCCGAAGATACTTGGGAAATAAGATGTTGGGAGCTGGAAATGTCTACTTTTTCCCATTTCAACCCCCCAAACTAACCGCTGCTTTTCTCTTGCTGCTGCTGCTGCTGCTGCTGCTAGTGGTGGTGGCTGCTGCTGCTGTTGTTGTTATTGTTGTTTTCCAGACCTGCATAAGGAACTCTGGAAGAAAAGTGAGGGAACTCAAAAAAGTAAGAAACCAGAAAATCAAGACATTATACTTTTAAACGCTAGGCTAATCAATGGGAAACACCTAGCAACCCCGCTTATAAGTTTATTCCCTAAAAAATATTCCTTATACTCAGAAATCTAATTTCATTGCAAATTAGCTAGAAATTAATGAAAAATTTGTTCCACTGCCATTTTATTTTAAGATCAAATGGATTCCAGATAGGGACCCATTAAGAATGTAAGGACTATTGTGATCCCGTCTAGGGACAGAGCAAAGGTCTAAGGAATCACCCACTTGCAGCAAGCCCATACATTCAAGTTAGGGCTGGGGCATATGACACCCAGTGCGTTCAGGTAAAGACTGCTCACCTATTTACCAAGAATATTTGAGAAAAGAAAATGCTCCTGCCTGGCAGACAATAGCACAAAGCATTTCTCTGTACCTGGGCACATCTGCTCCACTCGATAAAAGAGGACCCCTGACCCAGATACACAGGCAGTTGGAGAAGAGGGCAACTATGAACTGATACAAAGGCAAGAGGTTCCTGGTAGCATTGGAAGAACACAGACTGGTGCATAATGCACGGCGTGTGCAATAAAAGTAAGCTGTATTAAAACTTCAGCCTTGTTAATAGCTACAAAAAAAATTGTTAGAAAGAATGAATAAGATCTTGGCCAGGCACAGTGGCTCACGCCTGTAATCCCAGCATTTTGGGAGGCCGAGGTAGGTGGATCACCTGAGGTCAGGAGTTCGAGACCAGCCTGGCCAACATGGTGAAACCCCATCTCTACTAAAAATGCAAAAAAAATTAGCCAGACAGGGTGGTGTGCACCTGTAATTCCAGCTACTCGGGAGGCTGAGGCAGGAGAATCTCCTGAACCTGGGAGGCGGAGGTTGCAGTGAGCCAAGATTGAGCCACTGCACTCCAGCCTGGGCGACAAGAGCAAAAAGAATGAATAAGATCCGGTATTTGATAGCACAACAAGGTGACTATAGTCAATAATAACTGAATTTAAAAATACATTTAAAAATAACAAAAAGAGTATAACTGGATTGTTTGTAACACAAAGGATAAAAGCTTTAAGTGACAGACACCCCATTTACCCTGGTGCAATTACTACACATTGTATGCATGTATCAAAATATCTCCCGTGCCTCATAACTATACTCACCTACTATGTCCCCACAAAAATTTTAAATATTTTTCTAATTTTTAAAAATTTGTTGAAAAACCATCAGCCCTGTTAAGTTGCTCACATGTGCTGTTGCAGCCCTAGCTCACTCCTGCTGACACAGGGTCCCCCACAGTTACGGGTCTATCCTTCCTCTGGTGTGGCAAGACTACATTTTCAGGAAGCTGCTGGGCAGAATGAAGCAACTCAAAGCTCAGGAGAAGTGTCTACGTGCCTTTTAGGGTTAGGGTTTAACCCGGCACCCAGGGATTTCCCAGCATGCAGACAAAGGCACTGAGAGTTAGAGCAGAAGCTGGAAGGGTGAGTCAAGCCAGGACTCAGCACCCTTGAACCCATCCACAGCTCCCACTCACATCATCCCACACTCCCTTTTCGCATTTACTCCAAGCATCTGGAGCCCCAAGCTCCTGCGCCTCAACCCACGCCCTCGGTAACAGTATCCATTGCCAAGCCAGAATTGACTCTGGGCCCACCGCACCACTCACTCAGAGTCTGTGAGGAGTGAGCAGCGCACGAGACCGGAAACAGGCCAACTCAGAGGTGGGCTCCCCACTGCACGTCTTATCCGAAAAGATGCCCCTCAGTCCCATCAGTGTTGACTTTGCATTGCGCCATTCGATTATTTCCTTCAGCTCTTCTTAAGACAAATGGCTGGCTGTTGGGAGACTGGCCAGGGTTAAGGTGGAGCCTCAATGTGGCCATTTTCACAGTCCCGGCAAAGCCCATGGTTGGTGCCAAACCCTCATTGAACTGAATAGAACGGAGGAAAGCTAACCAACCCACCAGAATAATAATCACTAATGCTTATGGGGTGATCACACACCAAGACTGCTCTAAGTGTTTTATGTGTATTCATTTATCTTTACCTCATCATAAGTACTATTATTTTTCTACTTTATAGATAAGAAAACTGAAACAAGGTCGCAAACCACATGATCTACAGGGGAGCCACCACTGCCTCCTGAAGAACCCCAGTCAGGAATCCCAGATTAATTTCCCCAGCATCCTGTTTGGAAACCACATGTCCACCCTGCAACTGTACCTGGCTTGTGTCCCACAAGGAGAAAGATGCAGGGGCCTCCAGAAGCTAAAGAGGTAGATATGGGTTTACTTGGGTTAATGTGGCCAGGGAGTCGGGAGACCTGGATTCCCGTTCTGGCTCTGCCCCTATCTGCGTGAGAATGGCCAACTGTTCCAACCATGAGTTCCACCCTCCTCATTGCTCAGCCACCAGGTTTCCAGGTCCCTCAGGCCCCTGCACATCCTCAGCTCTCTGAAGAACAGTGACTGGTGTGACGACAGGGCCCCTTCACAGAGCGAACCTGACAAAGAACTACTCACCGCACACACCAGCCTTAGAATGCACATGTCAGTGTTTTGGGAAATACGTGCTGTTTTGAAATGTGTCTGGGCCATGAGTAAGTTTGGGGGGAGACGGGATAGGAGCTTTTCTTCCAGTTAACGAAGTGAGGCTTCATGGAGGAAGAAGATTTTCTTAGTCACATTTCCTGTTTCACACTGACCTTTTAAAAGGAAACCCACAACTGAACCTGTGCTAGGGCCTGCTTACAAAACCTACCCACAGGTATAATAAAGATGATCTAAATAAAGCCAAGCTTAACCTGAATCAGTGGAAATAATAAGATCACCAAGAAGGGCTGATGGCCTGAGATAAGGGACATGGTGGTGCTCCGTAAACTGCAAATAGAAGTGACACGTGAGAGATTTAATGATTATTAAACAGGAATCTAAGCAGAGAGGCAGAGATAAACCATGCAATCTTTTCATCAGTCTCTATGTACTCAGGGCTTAGCCGCTTGTTATAAAATGGAGACTCTGAAAACTTAGGAGAGATGGATGCAGTGATTTCAAAAGAAGTTGTGTTGATTGGGTTATAAAATTAATTATGGGAATTAAGATTTCTTATCTGCAGAGGGAAAAACCAACAGATAACTGAAGAACTTAAAGTTGGTAAGGGGCCAGGCTTGGTAGCTCATGCCTATAATCCCAACACCTCAGGAGCCTGAAACAAGAGGACTGCTTGAGCCCGGTAGTTCAAAGCTAGCCTGGGCAACATAGTGAGATCCCACATCTATAAAAATAATGTTTTTTGTCCCCAGATGTGGTGGTGTGTGCTTCTAGTCTCAGCTACTCGGGTGGCTAAGCCTAGGAGGTTGAGGATGCAGTGTTCTGTGATCATACCACTGCACTACAGCCTGGGTGATGGAGCAAAACTCCATTTCAGAAAAAAGCCAAAAAGTTGGTAAGGGATCAGTTATTGGATGACACATTGCCATATCTACTGACCAAAGAATGACAGGCCCAAACAGTAGCAGACAGATGTGGAATACTCAAGGATGTCCCAGAGATGGCCAGGTATGGTGGCTCATGCCTGTAATCCCAGCACTTTGGGAGGCCAAGGCAGGCAGATCACTTGAGATCAGGAGTTCGAGATCAACCTGGCCAACATGGTGAAATCCTGTCTCTACTAAAAATACAAAACTTAGCCAGGCGTGGTGGCGCATGCCTGTAGTCTCAGCTACCCTGGAGGCTAAAGCAGGAGAATTACTTGAACCCAGGAGGCAGAGGTTCCAGTGAGCTGAGATTACACCATTGCACTTCATCCTGGGCAACACAGTGAGACTCCAACTCAAAAAAAAAAAAAAAAAAAAAGAATGTCCCAGAGACACCTGCAGAACAGTCTCCAAGGCCTGAAGAACTTCACCATCAGGCAGCACCCAATGCCATGGCCGTTTACACTGATTCAGGGAGACGTCACAGAAATGTTAAGTTTTGAAAGCTTTGTTTTGTTTTGTTTTTTTACTTTTTTATTTTAAAAAATATGTAATGCTTCACAAATTTGTGTGTCTTCTTTGCTCAGGGGCCATGCTAATCTTCTCTGTATTGTTCCAATTTTAGTACATGTGCTGCCAAAGAGAGCACTGTTTTGTTTTGTTTTAAACAAGGAGGCCTGGAATTGGACTGAAGTAAAAAAAAAAAAAAAAAAACATACAAAGGAAACAGTAATTACGTTAGCAAAAATAGAGTGGGGAATAGGGTTAGGCCATGACAGGCAATGATCCTAAGAGCTAGAGGTCTCTCCCACCCCAACAGAGAGCGACACACACACACACACAGAGACAGAGACAGACAGACACACACACACGCGCGTGTGCGCGCGCGCACACACACACACACACACACACAGAGACAGAGAGACAGAGAACCCTGACCGGAATACCTCAGGCTCTTCCCAGCCAGCTTCCACGTTGCTCTCCCATCCATCTTCACACCTAATTCTTCTACCAAACCCTCTGTCCACCCCAGGAGATTGTGAACTCAGGCACCAAATCCAACAAACTTCCCGAGGAGCTTATAACAATCTGTTTTACAGAGAAGTAAATGTTGCTGAGAGGGAAAATTGTCAGGCCTCAGTGTTCCAGAGCAGGAGGCATTCCTTCATTCCCAGAGAGGCCCTGGGCCTCAGCAAGCAAGCCTGACAAGCCCTCCGCAGCCAGAATCCAAGCTTCAGGCCATGCCTCCCTCACTGCTGGGCCCTGAACAGCGAGGTTGCTGCTCAGAACCCCTCTCCTCAGGGGGACAGTCCTCAGGGCTGCCCCACCTAACCTGTTCCCTCAGTCACTCAAGCCCTCCATCCTCTGTCACAGCCTGGCTCTGTCCCTTCCCATGCCCCAACCCCCAACCTCCCAGGACCAAGTGTCTCAGGTTTCCTACCCTCCTCCAGCCCTGACCAGCCTGGAAGCCAAGTGGCGAGCACGTGGTCAGCCGGGTGGGCCCTGAGAGCCGATGGAATGGTGTTCACGATGCAGGGAACAAGAGTGGGGGAGGAGGGAAGGTGAGGGGTACAGGGGTGCCTCTGCCAGGCCACCACTCTGCAGCTCATTCTCCTCTGAGGTTATTCCCTGATCCATACCCCTCTGGAGCCCACCCCAGCTGCTTCCTCTTCCTAGGGGTCTCCACCTGCTGTTCTGTGACTCCCCTGAAAATAAACTTTTGAAAGGCAGCCTGTGTGGTGATTGTGAGCATGGGTTTAGGGTCAAGAGGTAACCCCATAGCCAGACTTCACCCTCCTCCAGGCCTCCATCCAGGGCTGCAGAAATAGCTAGCAATTGGCTGGCTAAGCCGGCAGTGGCTTACATGGAAAGAGGGGCCCTCTGCAGCTGTCACCTGTGCTTGTGGATTTGGTTTTCCAGTGTCAGGAAGGAAAGGTGATTTGGGAGACACCAAGCAAAGAGCAGGAGGACCTTTTCTGTCCCTTGAAATTTAGGAGGGAGATGACCACACCGAGGCTGAGCCTTCCAGCTCCACTGGCGCCTGATGCCCTCCCTCACCTGTGACTGCCACCCTGGGAGGTTCTTTAAGGCTCTGTGCACAGCTCCCCTGCACAGAGGGGAGGGCACATGCCTGTCATGAACGCTCAGGTGCTGGAGTCCACAGGACAGGTAGGAGAGAAATGACTGTGGCCACTCAGCAACCACTTATGCCAGACACCCTTTTAATAGAATCACCTTCATCCAATCCTCACAGTCATCTCTTGAAATAGGCACTATTCTCATTTTGTAGACAAGGAAACTGAGACTGTAAGAGGTGAAAGTGCTAATGCAGATCATACTTATTAGGGACGGAGGCAGGACACAGCCCCACAAACACAGGGGGCAGCTGCCAAGGGGCCTCTTTTACCATATAAGCCACCGCCTGCTTACCCAGCCAATTTCTAGCTATTTCTGAAGCCCCGGGATTGAGGCCTGAAGAAGGATTGAGTCTACTATGGTGTCACTTCCTGGCAAACTCTGAGAGGGACTGAGAAGGCCAAGTGGGGGCCTGCACCAGGCACCCCCAGCACCCAGGACGCCCCTCCTCCCACTGAGCCACTCAGAGGCTGAGTGCCGGCAGGGTCCTCTCGCTTCGCAGATCCTGCACCCCAGGCCAGACCTCGCATAAAAAGAGGTGTCCACAGTGCTCATATCCCACCAGGCTCAGACATGGTAGCCCCAGGAAGTCACATCCATCTGGGATCTTCCCACCCCAGTAGTCTTTTTATGGGGAGATACAACAATATTAACCATGAGCACTGCTAGGGTCACTGTTCACAGCAGGCAGGAGGACCCCAGTGCAAGGTGTTTCTGTGGGGCCGCCTGGCATGCTGCATGCCCAGCGCTGTAGGTGGACTGGATGGTGGAGGAGGCCCCGTTGGAACCTGAACAGAATGAACTTCTGGGAAACTCAGCCACTCTGGTCCTGGTATTCCTGGTATTCCAGTTGTATGTTTCAAAGCTGTCTTGGCTTAACTACTTCTATCTCATTTTAGGATCTTCCAAAAGAATTGGTGAACCAAGGTGTTAAACAGCCAGATCCATTCAGCTCCTGAACTCTGGAGGGCTAGGACGCAGGGTAAAAGGACCCAGGTCCCAGCACCTTTTACCAGCTTTCCTAGCCTGGCACTTGAGACCCTGTTTGACAGGTTCCTGTCCACTGACCAGCCCATCTCAAGTCATCCTTGTGCCCTACCTTCAGTGCCTCTGGATAATCCCTCTGTGCCCTACCTTCAGTGCCTCCAAGCTCTGTCTCACCCACCTTGTGCTCTCTTGCCTGGGGATCAACCCCTTCCTTTCCCCAGCTAACCCCTACTTCACCTAGCACATTTCCATGTGAATTTCAAAGGCTAAGTGCAAGGATCACATTCCTCTGAACTGGTTGAGATCTTTCAGGATTCCTATCCATCCCCCAGTGTCCTGCCTATTTATCTCAATTTATGACACCCACACTTTCCCAATAATCCTGTTGTCTTTCTTGGTGTGGTTGTTGCTCCCTATAAATTGTCATTAAAGAGATTGGATAGGAATGAGCCTGCAACCCACTACTAGAGACTTCTCTTCTAGAGGTCGACATCGATCCACCCATCTTCATGCTAATGGCGGAAGGATTAGGTGGTTTTCTAGTTATTGATTACTATGGAACAAATGACTTCAGACATGCTGATGAAAAATGCCAACCATTTTCTTCTGCTCACAGATTTCTGAGTCAGGAATCTGGACAGAGCACAGCTGGGATGCCTCTTCTTTGGTTCATGTTCAGGGCTTCTGCTGGGAAAAGTAGACAACAGGGGTGAGGGAATGAACTGAGTGGTTAGGGGCTGGAATTATCTAGAGGCTTCTTCATTCCATGTCTGGTACCTACATTGGAAGGACTCAAAGACTGAGCTGAGCGGGACTGTCATGTGTCGAATGACATGTGTCCTCTCCACATGGCTTGGGTTTCTTAAAGCATGGCAGCTGGGTCACAAGAGTGAGTATTCCAGGAGAACCAGACAGAAGCTGTGGGGTCTTTTATGGCCAGGCTTCAGAAGTCAAAAAACATTACTTTCTCCATACCCTACTGATCAAAGCAGTCACAAGACTGTCCTGATTCAAGAGGAGGAGCATAGGTCCCACCGCTGGATGGGAGGAATGTCTAACAATTCTGTAACAGCCACAGCAGCACTGGAAGCCTACACCCAGATGCAGAATGACTTGGGAGTCCCTTTGAGTCAGGGCATAGGCACTACCTGACAGGCTACTCAATGGTGATAAGTCATCAAGAATAAGCAGTGCTGAGAGGCCTCTGACATTCCTGCAGAGAGGCTGGGGTATAGGCCAGACTACTACCACGATAAGGATTGTCTAACAGAATGAAGCCTCAAAGTGGATACTCGGTCTCCTGAAAAAGGCAGAACCCCTATTATCACAACTGGAGCATGCAGGATGTCAGGCCAGCAGTGTGTGACATGATGCCATCACACAGGTTAGCTGAGCACCTTCAATCCCTCCTCCTGTGATCACATGAGACCTTGTCAAATGCCCATGCTGATATTAAGAAATACTATATGGCATATTCCTGATCCAATAATTCAGTCATTGCCTTTCAAATGTGCGGATTTTGTTTGTTTGTTTGTTTGTTTGTTTTGTTTTTTTCTGAGTTTCGTGCTTGCTGCCCAGGCTGGAGCACAACGGTGCGATCTTGGCTCATAGCAACCTCCGCCTCC